TAGCAGTGCGGGGCACTGGGTGTTGGTGGCCACCACCGTGTGCAAACTTCCCTGCTCCCCATTCCTGGGAGCTGGCGGTAGTGCAGGATGGAGTGGCAGGAGGTGGGGGGGAGCGCATGGGGTGCACTGAGAGTGGTGGGGGGGTCCTACTGGGCTGGACAGGGCTGGAGGTGGAGCAGCAACATCACAGGGCACTGGATGGCAGCACCTCCCTTGTCCCCCCTCCATCATTCATGATGGGCAATTTGCTTGTATTTTATAATTGGTATCTGGACATCCTCTCCATCTCTTTCTGTCATCATCATTGGCTGTTGCCCTTCATTCACTATAGCCCCTGGCTTTATTACACCTGGATCATAGGTTAACTAGTTAATGGTACCTGCAAGACCCTACTTGCTTTCATTGCTGCCAGGAGTAAAGATTTTCTATTTCTTGTCCATGCTTAATTTCACATGAATGCAGTAAGCATTACATAGCCGCCTTCCCACAGCAACAGATTGGTTCCAAAGTACCAAGCACGAGTATTTTAATCCTGAATGCCACTATCCACAATAGATGCTTCCAAAACAAAAAAGAAAACCCTGTCCAGGAGTTTAAAACCAGGTTATTAATCTGAGCAGTTCACACACACTGTTTTGAAGACTAGACTCTATTTTAATTTTAAAGCAACCTGTAAGGTATTTAAGAGGAGATTGGACAAGTACCTGGCTGGGGTCATCTGACCCCAGCACTGTCTCCGGCCCAGGGCAGGGGGTCAGACTCGATGATCTAATAGGTCCCTTTTGACTCTTAAAATCTATGATATTTATGAAGTTAGTCAACAAGCACAAGATCCATTATACACAGTCCTGCTTAAATAGATGTCATAACTGACTTCAGCAAAACTATTGCAAGTGTTCATGCTCCCCATTCTTCCCTCATTATTTTATCCTTCTCTTCTAACCCAATGAAAAGTAATAAGCACTTCAGATTCCTGGTACTGTTCTAAAATCCTGTATCTTCCCTGCAGTTCCTTTACCATCAGTTTGTACACTGAGAATTAGCTATAAGTCACCCTCTACTGTTCAACAGGAGAACAGCAACTGAGAGGAATACATGTCTCTAAAGTAGTGGATGTGGATGACTGTGTTAAGCAGGAACCAGTAGTTTCTTTTCACAGCAAAATGGATGGCTCTGTCTGGAGCGGGCTCTGGATCTTTTCAGACACTAATTGAAAAAGTTTTACTGATGGCTCTTGGGTCTCTCTCATTATCACAGAGCTGTCTTCTGTTTTTTGAGATAGGAATCTGGGGTAGACACTTTCAAGATAAATGCAGGTGCTTTCTGTGGGCAGGGGAAAGTTTTTCAAAGAACCGATGGGGACTCTGATTTCATCCCCAGCTGAGGGCCTTTGTCCTCCTTTTTGTCAAGGTGGTTTGTATTCCTCAGGTAAGAACTAAACTCTGCAGCTCCTGAAGGGGACCAGCAGTTAAGTATTCTCAGGAGCAGGCCTTCAGTTCTACAGGTGACTCTAAACAATATATGAAACCACACCATGTTTTGCTATTTTTCTGTGCAATGTGAATTTAAGAAACCACTTTGTTCATTCTCCTTAACTATTGATGCTGGATACTCTTAGCAGTTCATTCCCTATTTCATAGGGACAAGAGCAGAATACTGTATTCGAGAGCATGACTTTTTCTCTGGCCTCCTAACACATGTACAGTAATTGAAGATGTGACACTCTGCTTTTAAAGAGCCCAACCAGCAGTCCCACTTAATTTCAACATGTTGGTGCATAAAATCACATTCAGTTGTACCATATGTTACTGCCTGTATGTCAAGAAAAATTAAATTTGCCTGTGCATTAAAAAGACAAGCAGACGTGAACTGAAATGGAGAAGTCATGGTTCTGTTCCCTGGTATGTTTATGTGAATAAACTACCTTTGAGGTAAACTAGTGTCTGAACTTATGGAGTGCTGGGAGATCCACAGTCATCGCCAATGTGCATGCTCTTACCTGTGGCAACTGCCAGATCATTTCCCTCTTGATGACAGTGTTTTTATGTTTTTACTGCAGGGCACATGGGCAGTTACTGCAGAATACCAGACAATTTGATTGTCACCCCTTCTAGCTGATCTTGTGGTACCTTGTGCAAGTAGCCCATACCCTCAGTTAAACCTCCTGAGTCATTTCTTTTAAAAACACAAGTGAGAGAAAGAGTGCCTGATAGTGATGACAGCTACAACTTCATATCATGTATAAATGAAGTTGATTTCCCATCTACAGCCACGTTATTTAAGCCAATCAAGCATCCGGATGGGCTGTAACTGTAACACCACTGCCACTGAAAGGGAAAATTTGTTGTCACAGACAGGAGTTCCCCCAACATGAATCTGGGTAATATAAAACTCAGAGCAGAGCTGTTCCATGGTCCTCACCCTGCCCTGTCAGCTCCTGGCACATTAGATATGACTAGGGGAAAGGTGAACGTGATCTGCGTGCTCCAGCTGTTCTGCTAGAAGAGACCTTTAGAATTTGGGACAGGTGGGCTTAAGTCTGAGCCTTAACTTATATACCTGGGCTCAGAGTCATCCCCAGATGGCCCTAAGATAGCACAAAGGTGATAACTTGGTACTCTTATGCCTTGTACCTAGAATTGCACTGAGTCTAACTTGAAGGCAGGTCAGAGTAGAACATTAGGTGAGTCCAGACACCATACACACAAGTTACATTGGTGTGCACAAACACAACACTTACCTCCCCTCCATATACAGAAGTGTTTTTTGTAACCACTCTGCATTTCTATAGACAGATACACTGTACACTCACACACACACATTTCTTTGGTTGGAGCTCCTATGAAAGTTGTTGACAATGGTAGTGCCTAAGAGCACTGTAGGTACAGTACCAGCATGGTGGCATTCCTCGCCTTGGCTATGAAGTCGACATTGGTGCCTCCGATGACCACCTTGAAGAAGTGGAGAAAAAAATCATGGAAGAAAACATTTGAAAGAAGAACTGCTATGTTTTCTTTGTTTTTGTCAAACCTCCTTCCACCCTCTTAAAATAGATGAGAATCAATGTGAAGACCCAAACTTATCTAGGAATTTAAACAGGCCAGAGCAAACAACCATTCCATACAATCTTATTTGAAAAGAATGGAAAATCTGTTTTGTATTCTTACTGTTATCTAGCCAAGGAGAAGGATAAGTGACATGCAGCAAGATGTTAGACCCACATCCATACACACAAAAATGCCAATGTAGTGGTGATTTAGCCAGGCCCTACATTAGATCCTATGTATCATGCCATCCTACTTCATTACGGGCATCTCTATTCAAGCCATTTCTAAAATGTTAAACTTCAAAAGTTGCCATTAAAAAATCAATGTGTTAGAGAAACGTTTCCTTCCTTCCCTTAATATAGGGAATGCTTTCTTAACTACCCTAATCAGTGGACCCTACCAGACAATATTCAATCTCAGGTAATATTCAACCTTTAGCCAATGACAAGATTAAGACCTGATATTGCATGATTTGCTAGGACTAGAAACGGGAGGTTAACATCACTCAAAAGCGAAAAATACCCAAATGTCTAGGCAAACACTCAGCTCTTTTTCTAGTGTTAGCAGACATTATCAGACTTTGAAGTTATGTTTTTATGTGTGCAGCTAGTATTATAGACAGTAAGTAACATTCAGAGGTTTTGCAACTCTCTAAACTTTTGCTAAAGTAGATTTTCTGTAAAGTATACGGCTTATAAAGTATACATGATGGTGTAATGCGATATAAAGATGTTAGTGTATCTTGTTTGGGATGTCCTGCCTCACTTCTGGTTTTAGCATGCATAAGTAAAGAGGCTAATTCAAATATGTGCATTAGAGTTCTATACCCCAGAATCTCATCATACTTATTCTTTCTCTCCTCACTCCAGAGATAGATGCATACATTCAAACTAATTGCATTGATAGCAGCTAAGTTGAAGATATGTGCTGGGAGCTCTCAGGAGAGAGGCTGTATCTGGGGGAAAGGTAGAATGTGAAAGCAAGGTGAGATGTTTAAGGGATTTGTATGCAACCTGAGCTGATGCCCTAGGAATCCATTCTGAGGAACAAGCCCAGTGCTAGTGCTCCTCATTGAAGACTCCAGCTCTGAAAAGGTTTTGTAAAGGGGGAAGAAAAAAGGAATAAAGGAAATGTAAATAAAGGACCTGGAAGAAATGAAGAGGGAGAAGGGAGTCGTTGCTGTTCAGAGAAGAAAGGATGGTCTTTGGCCACAGTAGACCACTGTGGTGGGTGTCTTTTGGAGGGCTGGCATAAGCTCAGCAATATAATGGTTAGTGGACAGACATCATATACATGGAACTCACTGGCCGGGGTGCAGTTGCTCTCCCACTCTGAGGCAGGTTGCCCTTCCCTTGGGCTTTCTTGAGCTTCCCCAGGGCCACAGCTATACGGCTGCCCACTCTGGCATTGTTCTGAACCAGAGCAATATCTAAATAGATTTTATTTAAAAAAAAATGAACCACAAGAAATTGGCCTGTGAAGAAACTTTTTTCCTTAACTGGGTAAGAATAGGAAGGACAGACTGGGGCAGTGACACTGTGGGGCCCCAGAGACCTGATTCTCCTTTGCCTGGCACCTCTCTGTTTATAGCATTTAAACCAGATCACCATAATATGCAAATGATTCCTAGCCTTTCAGGCAGTTCTCCCTGCAATTATCCTGTTTTCAGAAAGAAACTGAGACAGAGAGAGACCAATAGCCAGACTTTCAAAGACAACTTTACCTAAGAAGCCAGGCAGGCAGCTCATGGGCTGTGCCTAATGGGATTTGTCTAAGTCCCATCTACTTAGTTCCCTAGGGGGTCCAGATAATCAAAAAGCTGGATCCTGAACTGATTCAACCTTTGCAAGTTAGTCTAACCTGCCTAGGCTGAACTGGTTTGTAACCAGACAAACATGCTCTCTGGACTGAGGCAATGCAGGCACATGCCTGCAGCTGCTCAGGCCAGGTGCAGGGGGCACTAGGGCCAGCCCTCACCTTCAGGGAAGCTGTGCTAGGGGGGCATGGCCAGCCCAGGCTGAACTGGCCAGAGAGGGGTTTAATTCCCCCTCCCTGTGCCACCGACAGGGACCTGAGCTGGGTCTGCCCACGCTCCCCACTCACTGCTGCAGTAGGGGGGCACCGTGGCCCCTGAGGCAGAGGGGCCGAGGGAGCAGAGTTAGTTTACCCTCTACCCCACTGGCAGCTGGGTGGCTCCCTGCCTGGAATAGGCCCCCAGATGTCCCCTCTGCCAGAGGAATAACCCCGTCCCTGCCTCCACTGCTTGGCAGTGTCCCCTCTCCGCTGCTGCAGAGTGAGGGGCAGAGCCCTTAATGGGGTGGCAGCACCTGTCCACTGTGAGCCCCTTCCCAGCGAGGGGCTGCACGTGGCAGTGTTGGGGTCTGGGACCAGCACTTTGCAAGCCCCCACAGCACCACCCACACCCACTCTGCCTCAAGGGCCATGGTGCACCCCTGCTGCAGCAGCGAGGGGGGAGTGTGGGCAGACCCAGCTCAGGTCCCTCCTGGTGGCACAGGGAGGGGGAATTAAACCCCACTCTGGCCAGACCCCTGCCCCTGCCGGTCCCTGTTTGGGCTGCAGAGCAGAGGGGCAGGGCCAGCCTGGTTGGGTTGAAGCAGTGAGCCCCTCCCAGCCAGACAGCACGCCGGGATGCTGGGGGTCTCTGATCAAACTCGAACCAGCATGGGGTCTGGGACAGACATTGCATAAACTGTTTTGAGCCAAATCAGTTAATTCTGATACTACATTCAGCCAGGTTTCTCTCAAACCGGTTTCTGCCATTTTCAAACTGGGTTATGTGCACTGAATGTCTGTTCTGTTACAGATTTAAACCAGTTTCTGTTCACTTAAACCGGTTTATGTGTAATGTCTGTCCCTGGCCACAAGGTACCAAACCACCTCTCCTGGTGCCTAAATATCCTTAAGAATATTGTCTCTAATGAGGTTGTACAGGAGATATAAGAGCAAGAGGATAAATCTCTCCCTGGGCCTCACACACCCCAGATTAACTGCCTAGCTACTGAACCTTTACATTTTCACTGACTGGTTTCTTGCATACATACCAGCCTCTGGCTTCTCTAGTCCTTCCATCCAGGAAGAGCACACAACAGCTGCAGATGCTTCCTCAGCCTGACAACGGGTGTTTAAACTCACAAGCTTGCAAAGAAGAATTTTTACAACTACTTGAGTTGGTCTAATAAAAGACATCGGATTTACCCAAAGGGTCTTGTCTGTGTATGTCCTTAGATCAACACAGCTACAACCTACACCCCTGTAGCTACTGAACCTGCCTTCCTCTCCTCTGGTAGCATTATAACCCCACTCTCTTTTCAATTTGCACTAATGTTGATGACTGCACACGGCAATGGGGAGCTGGGACCTGTACTGAGGAATGGTCATCCATACTCCTGTGTGTTCCAGCTGCATATAAGGATATCCAGAGTCAGGGTGTGGGGTGTGGTATATTTTCTTGGGCTTTTTGAACATCTGCTGTCACAGCCACACTCATTTCTAATACAAAAATGAGGGGAGACAGAAAGAGCATTAATAGAAAGCCTAATGATGTTTTTGTACATGAATCTACTTTGAAATAGAGTATTTTTTCTTGATGGATCATAATTAAAGGGACAGTATTTTGGGTCACCATACCTGTGGAGATGTTGGGGTCAGTATGAAATATGATTTTACGGGTTCTTTTCCTGTTTATCTTCTGTTTAGTAAAAGGATACTGGAGTCCAGTGATTTTCCACTCGTCAGTTCATGCACCCTTTGTAGCACAAAGGGAGTGAGTTCTTTTCCTATGATCCCTTTTGACCTGCAAATGACAAGAAAATGCCTGTAGATAAGAACGGAGCTGGAAGGGGATCAGAGTGGATGGGCTGGTTACTAAACAGAGAAGGTATCTATTCAGTTCCATACCCTACAGCAAACACCCAGTAAACAAGCTTCAGTATGGATAGAGCCAGGCTGAAAATCATGTTCAGGGCTCACTTAAACCTAAGATTAAGGACATAATATCCACTATAGTCCTTGTGGCATGTGATGTAAAGACCTGGGCACTATCAAAGTCCTTGTGGCAATGTGGTGAGCTAAGCATAGCAATAGTAGTTAAACACCCCTGATCTGCAACACAGTCTAAATATACATGTAGAAATGTCCACTCAATTTAGATTTTTAAAGCAAAAGTTAGTTCCTCTTTTAAGAGCTTTGAAGAACTGTGCCCAGGGCTCTAGGTTTCCCTTGTCCACATAGCACTGTATTTTTCTGTGCTTCCTTATCCAGCCCCTAAATTTTGTTACTGATTTAGGGGAGGAGAAAAGGACACTTAATTTTCTTAAATTGATGCTGTTTCTCTTTTAACACTTCTCTCTCTAGGCCATGCCAAAGAGCTGGTATTTCTGGTAAGTCCATGGAAATCTTTAATATATCACAACGCCAGAACAAAATAAGAACAGAGTTTGTGGTGTTTCTCACCTGGCTTCCTTCAGAGCCTGTTGGATGGCATGTTCAATAATCTGCCCTGAAGCAGCCTGTTCCTTAGGGCAGGGCACAGCAATTAGCACTCCACTGCTTAGGCCCAATGCCAAGGTGCTGGCTGAAAGTGAATGGATAAGGTGTTAGTGAGTCCCTGTGAGCTGAATAATGCAATGGAACTGGAAAGCAACAAGGCATTTGAGACAGACAGGGAACATGCAGTGCCGTAGCCACTACTCTCCTCTGATATGGGGCTGGAACAGGGAATTGCTTTCAGCATTTAGTTTGCAACTCTAGACTTTTGAGTCTATCTTTGAGAGGAAAAGGGACCCTGCCTTCCAGTTTGTTTTGATGACCCGTCTGATTTTCCTTGCAGGAGCTGAGAGACTTTTTTTTTTTTAACAAGGGGCTCACACGATTCCCTGCTAGGTCCCCCGGTGCAAGCAAAATATATGACCATGATTTATTTGCTGAGTACCCAGTCAGCATGTGTGACTTTTGCTCCACTGATTCAGTGGAAAGGCTGACCTTTTTCTCACTGTTTACCTTCAAAGTAAGTAGCAGAAATAGCATTTTTCTGGGCAGCCTCATCTTCGGACAAGAGAGAGTACTTTTTCATGGATTCGCAGGAGTTTGGGGCTGGAAAGGAGCTTGTGAGATCATCAGGTCCAGCCCCCCTGCTCTGGGCAGAAAAGACTGCTGGGGTCAAATAACCCTAGCATTCAAGCACAATGACCTTTGCTGAACAGTAACCATTCAAGCACAGTGACCTTTGCTACACAGTGACCAATACTTCATTCAAGCCCAGTGACCTTTGCAAACCCTTATCTCACAGTCCACATCTAAACAGCAAGGTTTGGTCCTTTCTCCACTGAGAACTCACCAATGAGCTTGGCAGCCTCCTCCTCATTCTGCACCTGGTACGGTGCCTGCAAGCCACTCTGGCGGCAAAAGAAGGCCGGGAACTCCCTTGACTCACCAAAGGCTGCCACGCAGACACCCTGAGTTTCCTTCAACAGTAAAGAGGATGCAACAAGCTCATCAGCAGAACCACAAAAATGATTATTTTCCCACCTGCCCCTGCTATGAATTGCTTCACTACGAGTTTTGTTCCTTTTACACATCTTCGTTTCTACTCTCAGCGTTGTGCTGCAATGTTTAAGTCAACAAATCAGGTGACAGCAACTGTGGAGGCAAACTCTGGATTGCCTTAGATCTTAGCAGGTGAGACACTGTTGGCAAAGAAGATAAGGTTATCAGGGATTCACTGTTCTGGGATGGCTGAAATTGTGTCATGTTTGCAGTCGCCTGCCACAATTTATGGAGATTATGCAGTGACCAAATTATTGGGATATTTTACCACATTGGTATGCTGGTTTATTTTAACAGCAGGCAGTTGGAAAAGCAAATAGGAAGCAGGAAAATAGGTTCCTATAACATATTTCAGAGTAAACTCTCCAGGCTGGTAAGAAAAAATGTATATAGTCCCTGGGGCAGTAAATGTATGTTGCTTCCGTGCTCAAACAATGTTTAGCAAAGAGGGACACAGGCTCTACAGCAGCATTCCCTCTAAGCTGCATGGTGTGCGTGGCCGCGCAGGCGTGCCTGGCTGCGTGGCATGAGCACACCTGCACATCTTAGAGGGAACGCTGCTCTACAGAAATGCAGATAGCAGTATTCACATTGACAATGAACTGTGAAGATCCCACTTCCTTGGCTTCAGCCAAGGTACACACACAGCTCATTTTGCCAATTCTGGGACCCAAGAGAGGGGAAAGGCCTTAAAGAGTTAAAAAGTTTCTACCAGGTGTGGGAGTCCTTTATTTCCAAGTAATGGGCTGACATAAAGAGATCCTGCAATCTAAGCCTGTGGGTATGGTTTGGATAAAGCAGACCTACTGTGAGTTTCAAAGTCTTTTGTTTCATGTTTATACAGTGTTCCCACTATTAAGATGAAACAGTTCTTTGGTTGAAGAAGGCTGCTTTGGCATTACTGTATTAACCTTGGTCATGAACTCATGCTGGCACTGAAGCTCAGTCAGACCAATGGGATAAACAACCCTCATATATCTATTACCTGGTGTAAGAGTAGGATAAACCTGGGATTCCACCCAGAAAGAGAGAGCTTCAACAGGGTGCAGTCAGAGGGACCAAGAAGGGTCAGTGTCACACCCCATCCTAAACAATGACAGGCTCAAAGGATCCTGTCCAATCTGGTAAATGGCCTGGATCTTTCCTGGTTCAAAGGACGAATGACCATTCTGAGGTATTATTCTGAATTATAAACTGACAAAAATATAAATGGACACCATAGGTTATTAGAATGCCATGTATTTCCCAGCCACCCTGTGAAGTACGAGCCTTGTTGGACTGTGAGTTCAACCTTAAATACTGCATCATTCTGAACACCGCTATGACTCTACTCCTCCCATTTTAGTTTTCAGTTTATTTTAGTTTTTGCTAAAGTTAGAGTGTATGGGCAGTGGAGGTAAAGTATCCTCAGTTGGCCATCGTTCTTCAATCATAGTTCAGAATCTGGGTCCTGGTATATCAGACAGTGCTGAACACTCAGCTTTTGAAAATCAAGCCCCCTTATGGTGTCAAACAGCTACAAAATTTAGGCACCCATATTTGCTAGCTACTCCTGCAAATCTTGCCCAAGGCTATACAGCAAGTTAGTAGCAAAAATGAGAATGAGAACACAAAGTTCAGTGCTCTCTGCTTTCATTTTCAGCAACCCATATATCAGCTTGTGCTACCTACCAGAAATTCCAGCGTCCTACCGATATCCAAAATAGACTTGACACCTGCAGAAACAACAGCTACTGGAGTACGGCCTAGCTCTGTCAAGTCAGTGCTCACATCCATAGCTGTTAAAAGACAAGCAGCCATTGTGTTGGTGATTGAGTTTCATTCCAAAATGTCTTGTATTACCTACTTACTTGGGGGTAGTATCTGTATTTGAGAGTTCATAAGCTCATAGCTGATATTTATACCATTCTTTTAATTCATCAGGATTTCAGATATGGTACAAAGAGAGGAATTCATTGGTGTTTGACTGAAATGCAGCTTTTGCTGTGTCCTTTCCTAGCTGTTTAACAAAACACTGAAACACTACACCACAGCTTAGCAAATGGAAGGGAAGAAAAAGAAGAATATTGTGTATTCAATTAAAAGTGCAGTGCAAATGTTAGGTAGGTAGAGTATATTGTACTAAATGTTGACTTTCGCCAGAACATGATAACTAAGTAACACCCCATGGCTTACAAAGATGCCATGGGATTTTTGTGACTTCATAGGATCATGGTCTTGGTTTTACATCCTGTTCCTTGTAGAAAGGAGTTGGAGAGAGAGCCAAGTGCAACATCAGAGGCCCTGACCATAGGGCTAAAACCACAATAGCAGCAACTATCATTCTCTTGCTAGCAGGATTTCCTTGACCAGTGGAGGGAGGTGTATTTTTTCTGAGAAGCATATTAGTCAAACCTTTTGCCATAGATACCAACCATGGTGTGCTCAAAGTCTTAGGACAAATTAACCCCCCTCTGTGGAGTGAGGAAGAAGTGAGAGTTCTACTCTTTCTCTCAGCAGGCTACAGGGGGGATCACGAAAACTAATCAGGAAAGAAGGCAAACAAATAAAACTTTAACATTCATTCATCCACAAAGAGCTAAAGCGAGGTGCACTGTTTCTCTTACTTTTCTCTCCTCCACGATGGACCCCTCCTATCCCTCCTGTCACAAACACGTGGATTCCTGCTTTGTGGGCTGCAATCATGGTCCCTGAGACAGTAGTACCACCAGATGAGCCCTGCCATGGAACAGTCAGTCATAATCCATACTCTCCCTTAGCAGTCACTAAGAACAAGAGCATAAATTAAGATACAGCTCTTAAGTGTAGTTGAGTCTCTTTGAATGTAACTTATCCACAACGTGAAAAAAGATATAAATGTAAGCTGTGTCTGCATTCTTGTTGGTAATGCTTGTTGCTATTCTTGGTAGAGCCAGCCTCTATCCTGTTTATCTAGGCATTTATGCTTGGGGGGCGTTGCTGGATCGTCTGGCATCTCAGTAAGTGAATTACACTAATGTGCGTTTTCTTTCATGGGAGTGAGCGTATGTAGGTGTGAAGAAGTCTAAATGGGTATACAGGAGTATATCTTACACTATCTTACCTCTCCTGGCCAGGGTTGGGACTATCATGAGACACTTTACTGCAAAGTAGTGTAGTTTACTGCGCAGTAAGCATGTGCATCTACACATGCACATGTTTACTGTGCAGTAAACCTTGGTAATCGCAAATAAATTTGCTACCTGCAAATGCAAGTAGCAAATTTACTTGCGAGTAGTTACTGCGCAGTAGTACTGATGTAGATGCCTGCCTGGGAACAAATCTGCTCCCAGTCAGCTGGCCACCAGGGGGCAGGAGATTGCTCCCTGCCTCCTGGAGCCACCTGCTGCAGGTGGGGCTCTGCCACCAGATCCTGGGCAAGGAATTATGTCCCCCTGCCCTGGCAGCAGGGAGCTCCAAGCCCCTCGCTCCAAGATCGTGATCAGGCAACAGGGGGAGGGAAGATCCTGATTTCCCAGTACCAGCTCTGTGGTCACAGGGCTTGGGGTGGGAGATCCTTATCTCCCAAAGTCAGCCCTGCAACCATGGAGCTGGCACTCAGAGCTCCCTTCTGGCAGGGGCTGAAGAACCTGTTCCCTGCCCAGCTCTGTGATTGCAGAGCCAGATGAGGAACAGGCTGGGGAGCAGTTCCCCGTTCACCTCTGCGTAATCATGGAGCAGGGGCTGGGAACTGTCCTGGTCACAGGCAGGTCCCAGCTATGAGCCCCAATCAGGTGATCGAGGCATGGGGCTTGGAAGGATATGCAGGGGTGGGGCAGGTCCCAGCCCCCTGCCCCATCTGCTGAGGGGGCAGCAAGTAGCGGGCCTCTGGCTGGGCGGGAAACTTCCCCTCCCCTGCAGCTCTTTCCAAGTCCCCTGCCCCGATCAGGGAGCCAGGGCTGGCAGCTCCCTGCTGCTGAGGCAGGGGGACATTGTCCCCACCCTGGCAGTAGGCAGCTCCCCAGGGGCAGGGAGCAATGTCCCAGCCCTGGCCAGGAAACAGCAAAAGTGCTTCCACATCCCTGTAGCTTACTTGCAAGTAAACTGATCTTGGATCAAATGGATGTGTAGACTCACCCAGTATGAGGCAAGACAACTAGCTGAGTGCAAATATAAGAAAACTAGTTTCATCTGACTCTTCCCATTCTTCCCTGGAGCAATTAAGTGTAGTCTAAGACTTGTCCACCATAGAGAGCATCATACCTCTCTCAGCAGAGACTCTAGTAGTCATACTGGAAAAACCTGTGGTGTAAACCTGACATCATAAGCCTTTTCCTCTTAAATTTCTGAGATGCACATATCTGCTACCAGATTGTGCTTTGGATAGCAACAGTGATGAACTGATGAATAAAAAGGATACAAAAGTATTATTTTCCTAGTACAAGGAAAAGAATGATTGGTAATAGTGTGACTATGTATGAGAGGGAAATCTGTTCAATATTGCTTACAAGATGTTGCATAACCAAATGTTGCGTCTCCCCAAAGGACAGCATTATGGCTGCTGTTGTCAGAGAGATATCAGACCAAATTCTCTTTTGATGGAAATGGAATGAATGGTGCTGTTAGCATTTACACAAGCAGAGAATTTGACCCATCATTTCTATATCAGGCATCTTTCATTTAGCACAGTGTTCCCATTCCTGGGTATCCTGATGTGACTGTCTCTCGATTCTCATCTTGGCAGATGACAGGTTCCAAAGTAGGCATTCCCATTCTGCCTAAAAGTCAGCACAAAAGCTGTAATGCTAGGAAGGGAAAGAAGAGTCTCTCATCATGAATGCTGACATGGGCAGCAGAATCTTTTAGTACAGACACTACAATATGAGTACTCTCAAGTACTCCTACCCAGTCTTTATTTTCCTGCTGTGAGCCAAAATAAAATTATTTCCTTTGGGAAGATGTCATGGCTCTGGTTCTCTAGCTTCAGTGATTTTGACTCTCACTAGGAACATGTTCTGTACTTGTGCCAGTTTACCAGCAAAGTGGTATTTTATATGACATCACCAGGACTTAGAAATATATCTGCCACCAGCTTTATGCTGGACAGTACATTATTGCTATAAAGAAAATATGATGCTATTCAAGGTCTATATACAATACCTGGCTGAGAACGTAGGGAAGATCTCTTCGAGATACCTTAACTAAATTTTCACTCTTTGCCAGAAAGTGAAGTTCCTCGTCATTGAGGCCAATGTGAATCTTCCCATTTAAAATGCCCACAGTTGCTGGCACAGATCCATGTGTCCTCACAATTTCTTCCACATTTCTAGCCATACTGGAATAATACACACAGTGCAAGAAGCAAAAGAAAAGGATCAAATGAGAGATGTTCTCAGATCTCTCTGCCACTGGTTCCAAGTTCCCATTTCTAATAATCATCCCCTCAAATTTTGCTAAACATGGTTCCTCTCCTGCTACCTTCAGCTCGCAAAAGTCTGGTCCTAATATTCAGAGGTGTAGAGTTCCTTAAATCTCACATTACCAAACTGACAGTGTCTTATACTTCTTAAAAGCAGGTTGTTCACATTTAGTTTTCTGGAAGTGTCTGCAGGACTGACTGGCCTGGCTGTTCTTCATAGCCTAGAGGGGAATCTAATTTGTAGTAGAGGTCCTAGTACTTGTTTTCCATCCCTAATATCCAGCTATGACTGTTTTTACTCATGAACAAGTAAGTTCATGCACGACTGGTGCCTCTTGAGCCTGCAGGGGACCCGCAGAAGCCAGCAGGGATGGGGCTGGCGAGCACTCGCAGAAGCCGCTGGTGGCATTGGTGGTGGGGACAGCCCTGTCAGGAGGGGCACGTGCCCTCCTGTGTCCCCCCTACCAGTCACCTATGAGTAAATTGAATATGCCCATTGTCACTTATCCATGCTGACTTCGTAATAAGTGAGAGCTCAGGTAAGTATTGTAGAAGAGACTAAGAACTTTCTAAACTGCAGTTACTCATTTGCATAAATATATATGGCATATCAAACTGATTATGGAAGTTTCCACTAACTTAATTTCTTATGTCTTACCAGCCCCTCAATCCACCAAACAGCCGATGACAAGTATCATGGAAATGAACGGCAATTATCTGTATGTTATGGAAGCAATTACACATAATCATGTACCTGGTTCTGTTAAGGTGTGTCTACATGTGCATTAATGCACTTTAGTCAATGCACATTAAATCTAGTACGTCCATTGTGAGATACTAGGAAAATGAGCATTAGCCTGTCTTAACTAAATAGTGTGGTTTTAAGTGACACAATGCGCATTAGCCAATTTTAATGTACATTAACTTAAATAGCACTGTGGGCTCCTATACACATGCGTGGAGTCTGCTCCAATGTGCTGCAGATCCACCGCATCAATTAATTGAATCTGCTGGAGCACGGAAATTGACACACTCCAGCAACCTTCCGTGTCACGTCTATTGGCATCCCCGTGTGCCCCTGCACTGAAAAAATGGTGGTGGGGCACTTTGAAATAAAACACATTTGATGACCCCTAGCTCAAAGTGCCCCACCATCATTTTTTCAGTGCGGGGGTATGCAGGGATGCTGATACATGTCACACACAGACACTTTTAATTAGCATTGCTTGCTAATTAAAGTGACCGGCACCACGTCCCAGAGCATATGTGAAAATGCCCATGTTTTTTAGTGACACTTTAATACACATTACAATAGAATAATGCATTAAAGTGCACATTAAAGTGCACATGTAACTATTTCTATATCTGTGGAGTACAGTGAGATCTGAGGTTGGAAACCAAGTGCTGTCAGCTACTGAAAACATTAGGGTGTTCAGTAGAAATGAACTTTTGGAAAGGTAGAGTTGGTTTATGTAGAACATTTTTAGATTGGCTGGCAAATGTTTCTTCACTACATATCTCCATATTCAAACTCTTTGCCAATCAGATTCCTTATCTCATAATCCTGATGTTCGATGTAGACAGCAACAGTGCTGAAGATTACAATCTGACCCAGAGCACTAGTCAGCTACAAGTTGATCTTTTCAGGTTGTATATTTATTAATTTGTGAAACTAAATAATTTCTTACTGAGCAGGACACCAGTACGGGAAGGTTCTTTTTTCCCCCAGGCTGATTTGATACCCACGCCAGGTCACCTCAAGCTTCTCACAGAAACAAAGCTCACTGTTTGTTCTTTGCCACAGAAAAACAATGGCCATATATAAAATAATTAGAAAATTCAGTACTGTTACCTTTTGATACTGTGATTTGGAGGCTAAACAAGAATGTGGGTAATTGCCTTTGGGAAACTGGTTTCATGTTTGGCATTGTCACTCAGAGAAATAAGATATCTGGAGCATACCAATAATTTAAGGGTTGGTAGCAGAGGCAGGGTTCTTCTGTACAGATGAACAGCAACAGAATGGGAAGGGAGTCCAGGAAAATATTGTTGTGGTATCTGCTCTTTTAATTATCGATAAACAGTCGGTATGTCTACATGAGATGCTTAGCCTAATAACACCACATAGTAGTGCGGTGGCCAAAAACCATGCTAATAGCCTACTGCGCGGTGTTATTAGGGTAATGTGCAGTAAGCATTATAAAATAACTATGCACGAGAGCTAGTGTGCAGTAACTTTACTTACTGCGGTTTTAGTTAGTACTTCATTAGGCAAGTACTAAACTAAATGTTCAGTAACTAAGGCGCATTAATGAATGTGTAGGTGCACCCAGATGAAACCATTGGATCCCAGCTATTTCTTCATGGTTTATAAAAGACGTAAGGCAAGGCAGATTTGCACCTTTCTGCAGTCTCTTTTAAGCCTCTGATGAAGTAAACTGCTGCTTACAGAAGCTTATGCATCTCTGATTTGGTTAGTCTATAAGGTGCACATCTGTCCTGCCTCTTGCCTGCCTTCAGACTAAAATGGCTAATTTCCTCCCTCTTATAAAGGACATGCCCAGAGAGACTCAGGATTACTCCATACAAACTGTAATTACTCTGAAGTCACAACTTTCCTCTGTACGCACAATTAATATGGGTTTAGGGATATACATACTGTATCTCAGCTGCCCTGCAATAACTGGCTCTCTGCCCCTTTTCCCCCATGGTGACATCTAAATTTAGACAGTTTGATTTTTAAAACAGGGAATGAAACAGTGCTAAATTTCCCTAATCTATCTTATATTTACCTCAGGGTAACTGCTGGTTTGTGAACATTTCATGTGCCTCTAATTAACTAGGGTAGGGACTTATTATGCATCAGGTACTCCACAGTAACTGTTCAAGTGTCTATTCCTAACCCCTGTTAAATGAAGGCTAAACCAGGGCAGCTTTGACTTGTTTTATTCAGGGATAAGCTATCCCAGGTTAGCTCTTACTGTGGGGTAAAGTGGGCATAGGGACAGTTACTGTGGAGCACACACACCAATGATCACGTAGATGGAAGTTGCACAAAATGATCTGGTTGCAAGTAAAGTTGACTGAAAAAAGTTAGTGAACCTCTGGACTACAGAGAGAGAGAATTTTTTCTTGTAAAACTAGGGGTTGAGTATGTTCTTTCTGTGTTTGGAAGCCCAGAGGTATGTGTTTTGTTTCAGAGGTCATATTTTGCCAGCCTGCCATACCCTTGGTTTCCCTTCATGGTCTAGGGAGCTGTTGGGACTTTACAGATATTTCTATATTTGATGTCCCAACAGGCCCATAGGTTATAGGTGTCTACAGCTTGCTACTCTGCTGCACTAGAAGAATCAAATAATCAAATCCGCACCTCAAATTCTGGGGATAGGGTATGCCATGTGTAATGATGGCGCTCTCCAAGGCTACAATCGGTCTCCCACTGGCCAGAGCTTCCTGCACGGAAGACTGAACCCTGAAATGAGCATCTGTGAATAAAAAACACTAAAATGGTTTAATATCATAGGTTGATTAGAGATTTCTTAATTTACCAAGGTGACACAGCAAGAGAACAGCTGTACAGGAAATTGGAGAAGCAAACTAGGGTGAGTACTCAATCTATTTTTTGTGGATCCTTCCTGTGCCCTGCAAAGTTATGCAGAAAGCAAAAACTCATGAAATTGCAAAACCTAATTGTATTTCTCTTCCTGCACCAGCATTTGGAAGTCTGAAACCTCTGTCTCTTCAAGACACCCAAATCCAAGCAATATCAGAAAAAGCTAAAAAAAATTAAAACAAAATTCAGAAGCAGCACATCATATAATTCACAGGATTCTTTTAAGATTAAATGATTAAGAAGTGCACTCAGACATTTCAGCTTCTCATAAAATCATTGGTGCTTCAAGCCAGAAAAGAATTGCTCATTCGAAATCTAATTGCAAGGGAAGTTTTGGGGAGAGAATGCTAAGAATTTGTTTCATGTCAGATCAGCATCTGTAAAATATTATAGCCAGGAATTATGAAGGCCCAAATTGAAACCTATGTGACAAAAATTACACCAGATTTAGGCATTTTTTAAGAATAATGCCATGCTTGAAGAGTTGTTAGGTTTCTTTCAGCCTCAGATCAATTATTAATTATTAACTGTATTGTATTAGCTATCAATAATGCATGCCCCTCATGCCAGGTACAGTATACACAGAAAATAGAAAGTCAGTCAATGGAGTTTCATTTCCATCTGATGCTTAGTGCTCTTTTTACTAATGGTTAGTAGTCCAAAGTTGCTGAGACATTCAAATGTACACACATCACTCCTGAAATCCAGACTTTTAAAACAGTTGTCAATCAGTCGCAGACTGACCATTGTGGGCCTGATTTTCCTCTTTATAGATGTGTGAATAACTGAAACTTCAGGTCAGCGGCCAAACTGGAAAAAAAGGGTCTGGATCAATCTGAAATAAAAATGTATCGTTTCTTCATGCCAAAACAACCCACTCAAAAATTGTGTCACAGGTTGAAGAAAATGTTCCTTTGAATACCAAACTGAACAGTTTGGAATTCTGCATTTGTAATAAAAGCAAGGGAAGACAGGCTAGGTTCATAAAACAACTAATGAAGGAGGTTCCCATTTTACCCAATGGTCCAGCAGTTAGGCTGTTGAAGATGTGGGAGACGCGGAGTCAATTCTCTCCCTTGTCTCTTCTTCGGGGAGCGCCTGAACCACAGAGCTAAAAGGTAAAGTGAACCCCTTCAAGCTCTCCTACTGGAGCTGTTTCATTTTGTATGGAATATGGAAATAGTCATGGAGCCACAGAGATAGTGATTAGGTGGTTGGTACACACACACAAGATTTGGGACAGCTGGAGATCAGTGCCTGTTCCAATTAATTAATTTTTTTATGAAAAATGAAAAAGTATCAACAGGAGGGTACCCCACCCCAGAGTACCCATTAGCCTCTTGTTAAGATACTCTTCATGGAGGTAGGACAACTCAAATCAAATCCCTATAGGAAAAAGATGGACTTGAAGTTAGGTCTTCCACATCTTGGGTCAGTAACCATTTCCTTGGGCTAATGGGTAAAATAAGAACAACCATCATACTTAATTTTTCCCCTCCCTTCAATTTTTACTAGACAAAACTAGTCAGTAAATGCAGCTTAAATTTGCTTATATTTTCAAGATGACTGAAACTGCATTTTTTGGTGAAGACACTATTTAACAAAAAATCACTAAGTTTTGCTCCTTCCCTACTATTTTTGCAGCTGTGACATTTCATTGACTTCAGTGAATTAACTGCAATTGACATGGGGAGAACTCAGACATTCAAGTCTGCCACTATCTGAGCAACATGTGGGCATTAAAATATGGGAGCTATTAGTGTCAAAAGAGCACGAAAACTAAGATGTTGTTACAGTATCATACACCAACATATCACTTAGTGTTTATGTGTGTGTATGTGTACACACATACGTATATATTCAAGAGATATAGTAACAGAAATTCTATGTGAAATGAGTTTTGAAGGATTTCAAGGTTCCTGATGCAGTCTGAGAGAGTTGCCTCTACTTGCTAATTTTATCACTGCACTGTTCAGGCACTGACATTGCCATTACTGTGTTTTGAGGAAAGCATTATCATGATTGTGACATTTTCAGAGCATGCTACTCACCATGCAGAAATCTTCTCACCTGGATGATGCTATATGTCACTGCAGCCATGCGACTTCCCAGCCTACAGGTCAGCTTCCCAATCATCTTGTAAACAGGGATGGCACTGTGAGAAGAGCAGAGTCATGCAAAATGAAAGTAGTCCAGAAGGAAGTAATCTGATCCTTTCCCAAACCACTTACGAATTGTGAATGGCAGACTGCCCCACTGTTATTTCCATATAGGAAAACCTTATGCCTGTGGTAGAATAGGGACTGATGCAAAAAAGTAAGTGCAATATATAAAGTCCTTTTTGAAGGAGCCTTGGATAAGGAAAGTGGGGTAAACAGTTAGAGAAAAAGCCAACAAACGGAAAGGTGGAGAAATTGTAACCAGAGAGAGAGAGAAAGGTAGACCAGTTTCCCCAGAGGTGCAACTATAGCCTTACTTTCAATTTTTTTTCTGAGTAAGTACTAGGGGCTAGAGGCAAGGAGATGCAGTTCAGCCCACATGAAAGCTGCTTCAGTTCTTCTACAAGAACAATTTTTGGCTCTAAGCAACTTCTGTTTGCTTCAGTTAAACTATTACTTTGTTTAGGTAGCTAGATGGATGAATGAATAGGTAGGCGGATAGGTGACCTTGTGGTTAAGGTAGTGGACTGGGACTGGGACTTGGAAGAATATGGCTCTGTGTTTGGCTCTTTTGCCATCTTCCTCAATAATCTTGGGCAAAACACTAAAGCATCTCTTGTGTTCTAAGTCCCCATCAGTAAAATGGGTCTAAAGCTTCCTTTTTTTCATCCTTAAATCAGCCTTGCTTACTTAGACTATAAATCCTTCAGGGTTGAAATTGCATTATTGTTTGTTTGTTCAGTGCCTTGGTACAGAGAAGGCACAGATAGAAGTGACAATTTTTGTCTGATCTGGCCACAGAAAGTGGCCTATAGCTGTAACCATACACAAGTATACAGCTGCCGACAGCTTAAAAAAAGGCCAGTCCAGTGAAAATCTGAACCCTCATTGCATGAGAGGTGAGATGAAAACGGTTCAAAACACAGCGTCTTCTGTAACTTCTGTCTGTGCTGCCTACCAGCCTCGAGCTGTTTTCAGAATGGGAGACAGGAAAGGAAGTGGAGGGAGTTCAGTCTGGGGGGTTTTCAGCCCCTGCTAGAGGGTGGGGCAGGTGTATTGGAGCCCCTCTGAGCTGGGGGGGGAACTCTAATCCACACCCCAGAGCTGGCTGGGGAATCCTGGAATGAGCTCCCTCTGCTCCCTTTCCCTCGTCCCGTTCTGAAAACTTTGCAGCCTCACAGGGTGGAGGGACCCTTGCTACGGGAAACTGGCTTCAGGCTGGCAGCCGGCAGCTAGATTCCCCTCCTCCTGGAGGCAACAGTGAACTTCTGTTTGGTCCCAGGGATCACTGTAACATTGCTTCCTGCAAAGCGTTTTCATTTATAGCAGAGAACTGCACTTCTGTCTGCACCCTGAGTTCCTGATTGGCATGCAGACCTTTAGCACTACTAACATTCATTCATACCCCTACTTTGTTTAGAATCTCAGGAATAAATCTATAAGGGAGAGATTGGGAGTGAGGCAGGAAATAGTTCTGTAAGACATCTGTCAAGCCACCAGAACAGAAGTTGCCAAGAAACATTGGATACTCCCTACCTAAACATCTGATCAAATTCAATTGTCCATACTCCATTTTTACTTAGTCTCTACTCAGACAAGGACCCCACTTTGTTTTTGGAATCAGATTGTGATTCATCTTTAGGAAAATGCCCATTCTATACATGTGATCTCTACTTGAACTGTACCAATTACAGCAGTTTTGGATGTCTCTCCAGCAATTGACTACCTAACTCCAATTCTCACCAAGTCATCAGGCCTTGCTACAAACTCAGATGACAGGTGTGCTCCTTCATCAACACAGACCGCATCATCACTGGACTAAGCAACATTTTAACATTCAGGGTGCATTTTGTTCCTCCACCCACACCATGTAGGCCATCACTTTCTGCCAGTGCCCCTGTGCTGTCTCCAGCCAGTTGAGGCAATCTCTATATAAAATATGAGTGGATGTTGATATGGCATCAATTCCAGAAATGCACAAAAGCCCACAGAATAACACTTTAACTCCATTCCATCAGTGACCTCAGAGTAGCTGGCCTTAAAATAGAACAAAACCAAACCATTACAAACCAACTTGACCAGGAGATTTCAGAAGACAAATCATCCACAAACTCAGTTGTATTAAACATGTTCTCAAAAAGGACTATAGATTTTTATTCTATAACTTGGAGTAGCTGTTTACTTGAGTGTCCTGCCATGTGTTAACTGCCTTGTTCATCTCAACTTATCTAATCAACTCATTTATTACCTCTCTTAGCAGCATCCCCTCTCCCTACCCTTTCCCCTTCTACATAAAAGGTTTTCTTTCTGCCACTCCATTCATAGCATTTGGCAAAGTAGATTGCTGCTTATGAAAGCTCATGCCTCTCTGAATCAGTTTGTCTCTTAAGGTGTCACCCTGCCCTACCATCCTGTCTGACCTCCAGAGTTCATGCAAAGTTTCTAGTTTTGCTTTGTATGACTTTGCATGCACAAAAAATTCATCCTTTTTCTAATTCTAAGTTACATGGAATGCATGAGTTGGTTCCAGTGAGTTTTACTCTGCATTTGATCAAGCCTAAAAACTCAAGTTGCACCTGTTTCTGGATGAAAACCAGCTTGTTTTCATCTGAAACTCAACATTTGCTGCCATTCACTGGAAGCTCAGCCAACATCCATTCCGTTTTTCAGCCCAGATTTGCTGAAAGATTTTTAAATGCCATAGCTCTTTAGCCAGCCGATCCTGAACCTTTGGTTTGCAACAAAAGTGTAGGAGTTTCATGACGAAAATTTGACATAGCTATAAATGCAACGAGTTTTCCCCCATGTAGGCTCTTCTCCAAACCCTCCCAACCAGCTGCCCATTGTTTTACACACCATTAACATTCAGTTTTGTTATGCAGTGGTCTGGCATTTCCTCAGTCTCTTACCTCTGGGTGTCTGCCTGATGGATTTAGTTGTGGTCTGCAAGCAGTTTGCTCGTGAACAGCTCTGCAGGGGGGAAGGGTCTGTGGGACTGGCATCAGAATTGGCTAGAGCTGCCCTGCGTTCCAGTGACACGTTCAGTGCTGAGACAGTCCATTTATTATTAACTTCATGAGCAGCTGGGCTCTCAAACTGCTCCGTGTCTGAGGGAAAGGGAGGATTGCACAACTGCCTAGGGGTAGCCTGTGTGATTTCTTTTGCTCACTCAGTGCCAGATTTTTTTACCCTCTTTTCATATTGGTTCTCTTTTTCTCCATTTTTCATATTCCTTGGCTGTTTGTATCGGGTTAATGTGGTGCTTTTGAAAGATACTGAAATGATGACCTTGAAGATTTAAGATCCAGTTATTTATTCATAGACAAAACAGGAAGTAAAATTCCAGGCTTCCTCTAAAGCCCTGCCAACATGGAGGTGGTAAACCCATATCAGAGACAGTGTTGCTAGTTCATTCTAAAGCCCATTTGGTTCTTGTTCTCTGGAATGAGGGCTAGTCTGGGTGGGAATGTTTCTGACATGGATGCCTGTTCACTTGAAAATCTTGAAACTGGACACAGTACTCCATGTGAGTCCTAACCTGTACTGAATAGAACAGAAAATCACTTCCTGTTATTTGCAAGTGATGCTCCCATTACTATAACCCAGCATACTGTTGACATGTTTTACAACAAGAGCATACTGTTGGCTCATATTCAACTTCTGGTCTGCAATAACCCCCAGGTTCTTCTCTATAGTACTGCAGCCTAGTCAGTCATTCCCCGGTCTGTATTTGTTCATGTAATTATTCTGTCCCGAATGCAGCACTTTGCACTTGTCCTCGTTGAATCTCATCTGATTGTCTGATTGCAGACCATTTCTCCAGCCTAGTCACATCTTTCATACACACACACACACACACACACACACACACACTGCAATCATATATATATATATATATATATACTGCAACCAGTGTGTGTGTGTGTGTGTGTGTGTGTGTGTGTGTGTGTGTGTGTGTGTATAGACTGACTGCAGGCCATTTTTCCAGCCTATTCACATCAGATATATATATACTTATTTATTTTATAGCTATATATCTGATGTAAACAGGTTGGAAAAATGGTTTGCAAACAGTTAATATATATAACATAACATACAATTAGATAGTGTTTTTCTGCAGGGGATACTTCAGCTCAAGGTTGTATATATCCTTTACTTACCAGATGGATTCAGAATTGTCACAACTGTTCTGTACAGTTTAAGTAAAGTAATGAGTAACCCATTGTTTTCATAACAAAGGAATCAGAATATGTAACTGATTCTAGAGAGATCAGGAAAACAATAAATCATAAAAGATTAAACATTCATGTATGTAGGCTTGCTCTTTCTAAAAGATGGTTTAACAACCTTTACTAATGTCTGTATTACTGAAAATATTAATGTTTCCTTCTTGCTTGCAGACTACTTCTGGGAAACTGCACCTAAAGCTTGCAGAAATAAAAAGATCATGTAATTTTGACCTGTGCATTTTTTGCTGGGAATAAGTAGGCATGAATTCCTCCATAAATTAGTGTCTTGATGATTCAAACTCTCTTCTTTTGCTGGCAATAGACAGACATACAGATATACAGATATGAAGAATGAATGTGTAGTGAATAAAATTTACATTTATACATTTACAATGGCTTCCTTTTACTTTCACTGTGATCTTAGATTGAAGTACTGTAGAAATCCATCTGGGCTATCACATTTTGGCAGGCTACCAGACAAGATGATTTAGTAATCAGGAGGGCTACTCAGTTTCTGGACCCTGTTTAGCAATTTGAAACTTTATCCTGGAACCTTCTTGTGCAGTGTGAGCTCAGTGAGCAGTTCTCTGTATCAGAAAACCCAGATGCAAGAGATCCTAGGAAAAGGCAGTCTTCTGTTTACAGCTTTCCGTGGGCGTGTTTCTCCCTAAACCAAGTGAAAACTAGTCTCTGTGGGCATTTTTACATGTGCTTCTGACGCAGAGCTGGGTGCTTTTGATTAGCGAGCTGCACTAATTCAAAGCACCCGTGTGTCACTTGTATCAGCAGCGCAGCATGTCTGTGTGCTGAGAAAATGGCAGTGGGGCACTTTGAAGTAAAGCACTTTAAATGTGTTTTATTTCAGAGCTCACTGCTGTTATTTTCTCAGCGTGGAGACACACTGTGCCACTAGTACATGTGACATGCAAGATTGCCAGAGTGCATCAATTTACGTGCTCCAGCATACTCGATTAATCGTTGGACTTCCAGCACATCGGAGCAGGCTCACCGCATGTGTGTAAGTAAGGTTGTCAAGACTGTAGCTTAGCTGTTCAACCAGGCCACTAATAAGCCTCTGAAACAGAGGGTGCAGGGCCACTATACTATGCTGGTCATATGAAGGTAAATTTCTGATTCTTGTACATACCTCAGATATCTGAAGTAAAAGTGTTACATCTTTTACAAACAAAATATGAACTTCTGTGAACAAAACTCAGCGAACAAACCTCTTTTCACTTTTTTTTTCCCAGCATCAAAGCTGTTGCTTAATTTTTCCTGTAACAGAATGAGTTACTTCATTGTTGAATGATCCCCCATTTAAGACTTGTAGCAATGAACTAGAAAGAAATCGGGACATGCGGGGAACGATGTTATAGGGACACAAGCAGCAGGTAGGAGGGGGTGGGGAATTCAAAAAGACTGATCACTGGAGATGGTCACACAGAGGAAAGTTTATTAGTTGGAAGTCATCTGGCCAGATTCTAAACTGAAGGCAGTTAGTACCAGAAGCTCTAGGGAAAGGACCTACATATAAATCTCCATCTTTAATTTGCCATGCCTGCTGCTGTCACTGATCAGGAATGTCCAGCTGCTGCCATGGCTGAAAGGCCTTTGGTAAGTTTTTGTTGTTGGTGCTCTTCTGTAAGGGATTCAGAAAGCTCCGGCCAATATCAAATGGAGAGAAAGAGAGAGAATAAGGAAATCACCTTGAATCACATTGATTTCAAAGGAATTATGTGCCTATATACATTTGAGGATCTGGGTCCTTGAAACAGAGAAGCTGCCATGCAGCTACTGCCTTTTAATGCTTTGATGACTCTTATATTTTAGCACCCATCCCACTGGTAACCTTCCCTTTCTCAGGAAATTGCCTAAAAACAGCCTTTTTGACATCGTTTTCTCGAATCCATATTCATACCATGTTCACACCACGTATTCATACCATGAACAGCATTTTACTGCCTGTAGTTTGTAAACTACTTCTCTTGTACCAATCTTTCCTTTTCACTCTTCATCCATCTTGTGCCTGACTTTACGGCTTTGTTAAGCAGGTGTTGTCAGTTACCTCCTTTCACAATTTTGCTTTCCTCTGACCATATTTTTTTCCTCACTGGGCATGTCTACACATGCACTTTAATGCGCAGTAGCCTATTTTACTGCGCATTAAAGCATCACATAAAAAATAGCCATTATGCTAATGCACGGTAAAATAGACTACAGGCAACCCCCGCTTAATGCGGTTTCGCTTACCGCAGTTTCATTATAGTGCTCATTTAAAATATGTACCTGGTTTCACTTAGTGCGCAGAGTGTCTCATTATAATGCTCAGCACGGGGCTGGGGCGAAGCAGCAATGGCGGCAGTAGCGACAGCAGTAGAGAGTGAAGAGGTGAGTGACAGCCAGTGTGGGCTCAGAGCAAGGCAGCAGGAGAGTGGGGTTTGCTCCTGCACGTGGTGCTGGAATTGGCAGGAAGGAGCAGTGGCGGTGAGAAGGGGGAGTAGGGGGATGCATGACTGTGGAGCCTGGGCTGGTGCCCAGGGCCAGGGCCAGGGCCAGCAGGGCTCAGGGCAGGGTGGCAGGAGCATGGCAGGAGCGTGGCAGGAGCCCACATCCGGCATGCAGGTGGGGAAGAGTGGTGATGGCAGCAAGAAGGAGCAGGTGGGCATGTGTTGTGAGTGTGGGGCCCAGGCTGGCAGGGCAGTGGGAGCGCTGGGCCCAAGGTGGCAGGACACGTGCTCATTATACCCCAGCCCCGGGCCGCAGTGGCGCCAAGCCTCCAGAGCTCCCCCATCCCTGGGCTGCAGCCCATGCCCTGTTCCAATCACGCACTCACCTGCAGGGCATGGACACTGTCCTGAGCCTGAAGCAATCCGACTGTGGGGCAGCAGAAGCATGGGGTCTGGGCCAGCAGGTTGTGCAGAACCAATTATATTTATTTACATTAAATTGTACGGAGAAATGGGTTTCACTTAACGCTGTTTCACTTAGCGCTCAGTTTTTCTGGAACCAGTTAAGAGCGCTAAGCGGTGGTTGCCTGTACTGTGCATTAAGCTTCACCTAAAAAGTGTGCGTTTGCACTACTGCGCATTAGGACGGCCTAATGCACCTTTATTTAGTACCTCACATTGAAGGGCGCCTATACACAAGAGCAGAGGCTGCTCTGTCATGCTGGAATTCAGCACGTTGGAGCAGACTTGATTAATCGAGTCTGCTGGAGCGTGGCAATTACTGTGCTCCAGGAGCCTCCTGAGTCTTATCTATCAGCGTCTCTGTGCTTAAAAATGGCAGCAGGGGTGTTTGAACTAAAGCTGATCGAATGAGATTTAATATAAGCCCCCCGCCATCATTTCTAAGTGTGGGGACACTGATACACGAGACACAGCAGTGCTTTAATTTAAGTGGCTCTAATTAGAGTGTGCCCTCCCCACCGCCAGAGCATGTGTAAAAGTGCCCGGAGGTAGTAAATCTAATGAGCATTAGGAAAAGTGCATTTTTGCACATGTAGACACGCCTGCTGTGGTGGAAACAGGGCTGTCCGGGGGCGGGGGGGGGACAGAGAATCAGGGCAGCTGCCCCTGGGCCCTGTGCTTTGGGGAGCCGGGCAGAATGGTGTGGTGACTCCATGCTGCCGCCAGCTTCACGTCCAGCTGCTTGCCACCTCCCCCCTGCTGCTGAATCCGCTGTCAGCTTCCTTATGTCCGGGGCAGGGCCCCGCCAGGCTGATTTGCCCCAGGCCCCGCTCCTTGCTCGGGTTGTCTCTGGGAGGAAACATC